TACATTACATTACATACATACTTACTTACATACATACTTACATACATATATACATACACCGACATACCGGCCTACAAACACGTAGGCATAACGACTTACATACATACTTACATGCATACATACTTGCATACACACATACGGACATGCATCCAGACATACAGTACAATACGTTGCTTTCCATCGCACCATTGCACATAAGTCCAGCCACGCCCGCCTGCCCACCTGCCTGCGTGACTCCACAATATCATGTCATACGCTGTGGCATACTGCAATATGACACAACCCAGTCCAGTACAGCACCGTACGTACTGTACAGTGAATCGCAGTACAATACAACACGCATACATACGCATGTGTGTATATATATACACACGCATACATACACATATATATGTTAATATATAGTCGCCCTGAAACCGGGAGAAGGCCGCAAACTGCTTTCGGCGGAATGTCAGGAAACAGCCTGTCTGTAGGCCCCCAAGACTCCACAGCTGGTTTTGTGAGAAGTGTTGAAATCATGCACCATCAAGCTGAGTCAACATCCTCACAAAAATTACGTGGCACAGCTCCACGGCATCCTGAAGACTGCAGTCACGACTTCCTCGAAACCGGAAACGCCCAGAAACCCGAAACCACTGCGCCTTCGCAGATCCAGTGTGGTGTCGACAACGACCGAATTCCTCTTCAGGTTCCAAGTCAACACAACGTTGAGGGATGTGCTCCACATGCTCAGCTTCGAGCTTGCAGCTTCAGACGTTGAATTTGGTTTCTTGTGACGCCGAGCGACTCGGCACAGTCCATGCGTGCTGCACGAGGCAAGATCTGACGAAGCTCGTTGAACCGAATGTCTGAAGTAGCAGCTGTCACATGGGGAAAGTTCTGATCCACAGCCCCAACTCAAGTCGACGAGACAGAGCTCAAACGACCCCGGCCAAGGCCACCCACCTCCCAAGAATCGAAAGTAGAATAAGAAATAGGCGTCCAGGCGTCCAGCACTGTACTGGAATCGACTGCGACACGAAGGTCATGTGCCGTGGACCTGCGAATCATGACGTCGTCCATGAAGAAGCCTCCCGTCTCCATGTTGAAATCCAAAACCTGTGTGTTTTGCATGGGGTAGGGTTTAGGGAAAGGCCGCTTCCATCCCGCAAGTCGCGTTCTGGTTTCCGAGCCCTGCTGATGCCGGGACTTGGAGCAGCTCTGCTACGCCTGCTCCGTAGCATTGAGCGTTCCGCTGGGCAGGTTTCGTCTGCTTCTCAATGTTCAGCGCTACCTCCACTGCCTCCATATCATCCGACGTCAACACCTCGCCCTGAAACTTGAAACCCTGGAACAGCCTGAAGCCTCATCCAGAAAACCCCCCTTTGTTGGTCGAACCGCCTCCTAGACCAGAAAAGCCACAGCTAAAGGCTTCCGCTAAACGTTTTTGCTAATTTTTCGCGATCAGCTTCCTACACATGAAGACTTCAACCATCGGACAGCTGGGGCGGAAGCAGGCCGGTAGGCTGCCATTGAGGCACCTGAGCCATCTGGGTCTGGAGCTTGGCTTTGTGGTTTGGCCTTCTTGAGGTTGAAAACTCAACCATCCGTCCGTTACTGGCGCAGCGCTCATCTGCAGGCCGTGCCTATTGCGAGAAATCAAGAAGCTGTGAATCCTCTGCGCGCGAACCAACAAGAGAAAAGATTGGGAAAATAAAACACAGTATCCGACCGATGCGCACGTTGATTGTAGGATCCCGGAGCGTGCCGTCAGGTTTAAAAGCCCAGGGGCAGGAGATATATTCTTTCAGCTTTCCGAGCTCTCTGAACCAGGGTTGGAGGCTTTGGGTCCTTGACATTCAGGGCCCTATAGTGCTCGACGGATGAGCCGCAGACCAACCATGGCCAACGGGAGCAGAGCCGAGGCTGAGAAGCCAAGGCCCAGCGCAAGCCCTGCAGAAGCGAATCCAAAACTTCAGGCTGTAGCCTGTAACCATCTCAAGCCGAGTCTTGACTACAAAGCTATAGCAGGTTTGGACACTGAAGCTGCCAAGACAGCAGACTATGCACGGCCTGGCTGCTCCTTCTCGTTGCTGTGGGGTCGCTCTCGCTTCGGGGACGCTGGAGCATACTCGCTGTAGTCCACGTCTCCCTGGCTGAACAAAAGCAACTAGAGTGAGAAAAAAGCTCCTACATCTTAGGTGCAGGACTCCTCGACAGCAGCACAGGCTCCCGGGTGTTGAGCTCCACTTTCTGCCCTCCAAAGACTTGCTGGAGCTGTGTCCCGCGCACCTCCTCGGCTGCTTCACCGGGCAACGCGCCCGTCTGCAGCAGAGCCCATGCCTGGGAATTTGGGAACCGGGGCCTTCAGGGCTGAAGAGCTCGGCCCCGGATAAGTTACCTTTCCGTAGTAGTCCAATTTTAGAGCCACGTCCATGTGCAGAAAAGGCAAACATGGCCTTTCGTCTGAGTCCGCAAAACTTGGAATGCAGAGCTTGGGAGGACAAAGAGGCCTGTCAGGCGGCCTGTCCCTGTGTCTCCGCGTGGTGCATGACTGCGTGCCGGTCAAACCCAGTCGTAATCAGAACAGAACAGCATCTACCACAATGATTTCATGCGGAAAGACTGTCGAGTCACATGACAGCATTACTGCAGCCATACACATGCTGCTCGGATGACTTTCACACCTATCCACAATCGCATACCAACAAACATCGAAGAAAATGAGCAGAGCAGAGTAGGAGCAGGAGCGGGTATATACAGGAACAGGAACCACCACCACCACCACCGCCGCCGCCACCACCACCACCGCCACCGCCGCCGCCGCCACCGCCACCGCCACCGCCACCGCCATGACAATCAATACAGTTGGAAACGCGTCAGTGACCCAAATGACAAGGTAGTTGTCGTATATTGGCACAAGAATTAAAAAAGCAGTTGTATGCTAACAGGTAAGATTAGTAGCACGTTTAATGGTTAACACAAAGACCAGCAGTGATGGTGTATTCATGAGAATGCCAGAGAATCTGCAACGGGTGCCGGGCGGTGCGAGCTTCACCGGGCGTGCAGTCGGCAAACGGGCGCGACACGCCACAGCTGTAGCCCTGGAGGTTGTTCCAAACTAGGGTGTGCTTAAGCCACCTCGGCGGTTGAAGTCTAAGTTGATGCGGGGCCTTAGGTTCCGGACGTTTTCGGTGTTTACCATTGGGGGCTGTCGGAATTCAGCTTCTCGCTAAGGCGGTCTAAGCTGGCCTCCCTTTGCCGTACGTGTCTTTCCTGGCTACAGTTGCTAAACCACGTTGTTCAGAACAGCCCACGCGCCGTAAACTGTTGGCTACATGTTGCTCGTCTCATGTCATGCCGAAGCTTAGTACTAACTGCGGTAGGATGTCGTTGTGAAACTATGCAGGAACAATGTTGAAGCCTTGGTCACGGGACTATAGCTGGTCTGCACGACATCGTCGACAGATAATGCAATGTTTCAGGAACAACAATCCATGAACCGGTATGTCAGCTCCGAGTCGTCTGAGCTGCCGACCACAATTGCTCGTGCCACTGCTGGCGGCACCTGTTCAAGGCGGCCCTACCTCGGCCTATGGGCTTTTGGCATCCTTCGCGACACATAAGATCTGTGTTCTGAATAGCGGAGAGACATGCAATTTCAAATACTTTCTAAAGGAACATTCAAGGACTTCCTAAGCCCCATGCAATTTCGGAAACCCAGACAAAGTCGATGTTTCGGGCTAGGCCAATCTTACAGCTGCAGCTACCATTGTGTTCCCGCCAATGCGAGGCTCCACCCGGCCCTTGACATTCTTTGGTCAGATGCCGCGAAAGGGAAGTAGCGCCACTTTGTCGCCAATAAGAAATGCAGTCAATCGGCTACGCTCTTGGGAAGTCTGCGTTCAAGAGATTAGGCGACTCTGCCTCTGCCCACGACCCCCACATTTGGAGCTCCATGCTGCGCAGAATCAAGCAGACATCGACAGGTGTAGGAGAAAATGCCGGTGCAAGGGTGGATAGAATTCACAGATCTTCATAGCTTTCGAGAAACATGGGCAGACACTCTGTATCTCAAAGAAACACAGAGTCCTTTTCCACTCAAGGCCGGCGAATGGCCTCAGAAATGGGAGTTGAGTCGGTGCTACGACGCTACGATGAGGGAAGCTGGAATCCTGCATCCAAACGTAAGCTGTCAGTCGGCTTGCTTGCGCTCTCAGGTACGGGCACCCTGCGGAGTGTAGCTGTGGCCTGTCAAGTGAGATGCTTCTCTATACTACCCGGCATCCGAGAACGACCACCATCCAAAGTCCAGAAACCAGTCGCCTTCGGGGCTGACCTCCGGCGCGTAGCTGCCACTGTAAGCGGGTCCACGACCGCGATCCGAGCCTGCGTAGTTCACACCTGGCTGCTTGTTGGAAAAAAGGGCTGGCTCGTGTCGGGGAAGCAGCACGGGGTTTGGCTAATTCTGCGAAGTCTCATCTCGCAGATTCACTCAAGTGAGGCTTTCATGTTGACAAGGCTGACGAACTGCCACGGTGCCACACCATCAACAGTTTGCTAGATCCTGGAACATTTGAGCTGCTCCGGGTCTGGAGGAGCCAAAACCTGCATGACAAAAACTTGATTTTCAGCCACCAAAACAGCAGACAAACGCTACATGACTATCTACCCGAGAACCCCCAAACAAAACCGACACTCCGGGCCCTGGCAGAGGCGAAAACTGCGCCGGGTCTAGCTCTTGAGCAAGCAAGTCGAGCCAGCATTAGAGAGAAAGAAAGAGAAAAGCCTCCTTCTTTGCTGCATGCAGCTTTTCTCCTGGCGATCTTGTTCTGAAGACTGCGAGCGAGTTTCCTCTGCTTCTGTGGCGAGTCCAGAGGCATCAGCATCTGCATCCGCATCGATGGCTGCAGCAAGTGCGGCCTTACGTCTCCCGCACAGCACTTTCACGAGGCAGGCTGCTCTGCCGTTCTGGGATTCGGGCTCCGGCATCCGACCCGCAAAATCCTGAATCCTTCCCAAAGTAAATCACGAAATGTTTGTCCGCTTCCTCCCCGGCAGACACGCTCGGACGGGAGGTATCATTGTCTTTGGGGCTCTGTTGTCTGAGTTTTTCTGAGATGACCACAGAGCTTTGATTTGCAGGAAGAGATGGGATTCGGAACGTGGGCCGTATCAAACCAACCCTCACTTCTTGAGATTCGCACGGGCAAGCTGAAGGCGGCCTCGATGGAATCCGCCACTCCTTTCATGGGTTGTGGCCCTGCTGGGGTCTCACAATCTGGGCGAGAACTACAACGCGGCCACAGTCCCGGAAGCTCGACACCCCGCCAAAGAACCCGAGTGACCTACCCCAAGCTCCATATCAGTGGAAGCTCACGGCGTTATAATGCTAAGCCTTATGCCTCAGCAATCGTTGCGGACGTGCTAACCATTTCTCCTTACAGTTGACTATTGCGGGTACGATTTCTACGACTACGACGACCCTCCGACGGCTTTCTCACTTTGACAACTGACTCTTCCACTCTTTCTCTTAAGCCCGCTCTGACTCTGACTATACTTCTTTCTGTTAGTCTGACGCTTGCTCTCGGTTGTACTCTTGCAATTATACTCGTTATCTTAGTCAGTCTTGGTCTTACTCCTGCCCTTACCACTATAAGCCACTGCAATCTGCAACCATCACTACTACTACCACGACGACGACGCTTATTATGACGATGGATATCATGAGCATCTCATACTAAGATCAAACACTTGCCAAGCCCGCTCACTGGTCCTTCCAGGCCACGCGCTGCGGCACGGGACCTCCATGGAGGGACCTGGAACAAAGCTTTGGGCCATGGGGCTCCGGGAGTTTTCAAATTAGTTTGCTTGTGTAAGGAGGTGTAGGAATTTGGGGCCTCAAGTTTTGGTTTCATAGAGTTCTCTTACTTCAGGGTTGCCCCAAGGCCTTCGGATCGAAAGGAGGTGGGGGCTTTGGAAGTGTTTGCCAGTGTTTGGTCTCTCGAAGGCCCGGATCCCGGATCTAATCTTCGAGGACCTCGGGTCAGGGGAATGAATCCGTTTGCCTTCCTTTCGCAAAGGACCGACCGCCTTCTGGCAAAAGTGGGTCGGGCGCTTAGGGTATGGGGAAAGTTAAACCTTTACTGTACATTTGGCGGGAGGGGAAAGTGTGTTTCGTCAGGCCCCGAGCCTGCAATCAACATGCGCCTAAAGTCAATGGATGACTTGAATGTTGACCTCCTGACGTAGATCTCAGATTACGACTTCCAGATTTCTCGCTCCTGTCTGTGCATCCCTTGTTTCTCTGATTAGTCCACTACAGCATGCATCTCAAACTCCGGCCAACGCGCTTTAACAGCTTTGTATGCACGGCGTTCGAGCTCCTGATGTCTGTGGCATGTTGGGCATTTAAGCTGGGGCAGACGGAATTTACGCCCATTACATGAATGCTTTCAATGCAAGCTTATGCATGTGTGGATGTAGACAGACGAGCCTTTAACTTGGAAATCCTTGCGAGCTCAACCCATGATTCCGGGCCCCTTCCGGCCAGCTGCTGGCCTCGGTAGCATCTGCTCTTCCTGGCAGCTCATTGACAAGGCGAGACTCGAGGTTGGACATGGTATGTTTGCGACCGCAGGTCTAGGGACCTGTCTCGTAGCTGCTTCGGGCAAGTACCTCGCATCGTTTCGGAGTGCTTTCGGGTTCAAGTCCTAAGCTGGCCATGCACGAGGCTCCGTAGAAGGCGTCGTGGAAGAAGGCTATTTGTGTTGCGCCGGCTGTACCCGCCACATATCCCGAAACCTACGTGTGACCTCGGCCGATTAAATTGACCCCAGCTTGAACCCCAAACACTCAGCCTACTTAGCCTGTATAAGTCCTGAAACCCTCATAAAGCGTAGAACCTGAAACCCCCAACCTGCATCAAACCGCCCAGCGCTGATGGGAACACGCAATACCGTTTTTTTTTTGTTTTTCTGTTGGGTGGGTGTGGGCTGTTGAACAAGCAGACGCAAGACACTAGGAACATCAGCAGTGCTAGTGTGAGCCCTCGTGGCTGATCTATAGGCGCTGTCCGCATTACAGCTATTGTTGTTAGTACTTCTCGTGTGGCAATCCTAATCAGAACCAACACTACTGTAGTTTGTAACTACACTTTCGCTGCCAGAATAGGACAATGGGCTGCTGCTTGTTCCTTGTGGTGTGTGCTGTTCGCAGTGTCCTTTGGCTCAGGACCCATGGCTGCAGCCAGAGAGAATACGGAAGTTCAAGGTATAATATGCGCACGACATCGCACTACATGTAAACTGCCATCGAATCCGTGCAGCTTGACGTTTCCGATCCCAGTTCCAATCAAGGAGGCAGACACAAAGCTCGAGAACAAGCCATCAAAATCGGAAGGCAGGAGATCTGCATAACCAGTATACACTGTACACAGTCTTAGACTCAGCCCTGAAGTCCGAACACAACGACCCTGAACCTCAACCTGCTGTGTGGGCTACTGAATCTGACACCGCCGAGCCCTTTGTCAACAGGCCACAAGGAGCCTGCGACTCTGCAGGCGCTGGACGCCAGCAGGGCAAGACAGGACTCCTGCCTCAATGGGACCAGGCCTACACTCCTGTGCCAGCACAGATACGACAGTTCTGGGTTCACTTTGTATCCTCAAGCCCATGGCTTGCGCTGTATCCAGTGTTTTCGGACTGAGCCGGGAAGGGTGCTTCTCGTCTCCTGACTGTCCGGTCATTAGTTACACAGCTGTACTAACTTTCTGCACACTGCTGGCGAGTGCCCTGAAGCCTTGAAGCTGAGCGCGTGAGCCCCAGGACGACACAGCCAGCTCAATGGGCAACTGGACATCCTGAACCCTCCTGGCACAAACACTGAACCTACAAAGCCTACTCAACTCCCTCTGCTGTACGGTACGTGTCAACACAGGAACCTTCCAAATCTAAGCACGGCGCTGGCTGGCCCCGTTGCTTGCCATGCCGAAGACTGCCAGGCCACCGTACGAAGGGATCTCCTGAGCTTTGTGAGCACCGAAACGAGAAGGGGTTCTTCTGGCAAAGGGTTTCTTTCTGACGAATCAGAATTCAATTTCTGTGGGTGGAGAACCGTACCCGGTCAAGCTGGGTGCCCGTGCAGCTGTGTAGGCACGGGCCGTCTGGAAGCCGGCCTGCGGCCGTGAGCAGTTTCAGGGCGACGAAGACTGGCCAGCACTTCAGCAGACTTTGAGATTGTTGGGATTTCATCCTGAAGCGGGGTGTGCTAGCTCGTCGTGTCTTCGAGGCCTGCATCTGCCACCCATTCTACAGTACGTATTCAAGCCGCGAGCGTGCTTTCCGTTGGCCAAGGCAGCGCTCACTTCCAATTCCTGTGAATACGTGGCACCTTCAGCTCCCCAAGACGACGTGCCTGCTTGAGCCGGGCCAGGCCCGCCGCCACAGTAGGGGACAAGGCTAAACCGTCCGGACGCCTGAACCCGTCAACATATTCCGCATACAAGTAGCTCGACTAATCTCTGGAGGGACGTGCAAATCGTGCAAGAACGTGCAAATTGAACTGGCAAAGCAATGAGGGACACACGAATAAAGGGAGTGATGGTGTAAAGACGGAAGAGGCTAAACGATAATTTAGGTGATATTTTATTGACCGAAGGTGCGGCCAAGGGGCAGCAGGCAGGCGCCGAGCTGTGTCGAAAGTATTCCGCCGTGCTTGAGCCGCTGCAGACCTAAGACACTCAGCTCGAGTGCATCATGAGCTGCCCAATGCAGGCGGCGTTCGATCTGGAGGAATTGACGAAACCAGTGAACTGGACAAAGCGCCCCACAGCCGGCAAAGAAGCTCTTGCTCCACAGGTGATCGCTCCTCCGCAAAAACGAATTCTTAGAGGACTCTTGCATCTCCTGCTCGAGCCAACCCCGAACTCGACATGTCGAACCCGCTTGTCCGTTGGATGCAAGATTGCTGGTCCAACCCTTCGCCCTCGTTGAAGGCGAACTGAAACCGTTTGAACATTCGACATGTGCTTGCGGCATGGCATTGTGTAGCAGAACCGCCCTTGATAGACCTGACTGAACCCCGAAAAAGCGGTCCTGCCCCGTGCCATTCCCATGTCTGTGCTGTCCACGAGGATAACATCGAAGTGACCCTCACAAGGGATGTTGGTGTAAACTACTGGTGGCGGCTGTAGGACTTTAGGGCAGGCCACGGGAGCTTGAGATGCACAATTTCGATTCGATCTTGAACTTTTCCGGAATCCCTGTAAACCCGAATGCCGAAAATCACAACCCCGAAGTACTCCCTTCGCCCCAAACACCAGGACTTTCAATTCCACTCGGAGCCCCCAAAACACCTGACTGGTGCGATAAGACTTTGCGGCATGGTTTATTCTTGCAGCATACTACTACACCTCTGTTGCCTTTACTCAAACTATGTTAAGTTATGCCGCATTGTGCTCCCATGTGCTTGTGGATTTTCGCTCCAAGATCTCTCGTTCAAGGGCATTGACGCCTGAGGCTCTACAGAACCCCCAAGTCCCCGAAGCGCATGCATTTAACCCGACTATTCTCACTCAGTCCTGTATTGTTGGCGTCGCAACAAGTTATGATTCCTAGCGTTATAGGCTTTGGAATTACATACCACCACGATAAATGTTATTCGAATTCGGCTTGTTTGTTGATTTAAGTCCTTGTCGCTTTCTTCTAAGCCTGATGCCGATCCTCCTCCTCCTCCTCCTCCTCCCTCATCATCATCGTCATCAGGATCATCAGCATCATCATCAATCATCATCACCATCAGCGACCATCAAGGATGATGATGATCACCACCATCATCATCATCATCATCATCACCATCGCCATCATCCTTATCCTCATCCTCATCCGCGTCGTCGCCAACATCATCATCGCCATCATCACCATCATAGTCGTCGTCATCCTCATCATCGTCACACCATCACTGCACCATCACCATCATCGTCGTCCCCATTACCCTGATCGTCTTCGTCACTACAATGGTTGCCCTGGATGAAATACACCAAGTCAAACACAAACTGACCATCCCTAGACCTACAATCCCAAATCCTGCAGCAAAGCACCTCCGGCCAGGTTTGGAAGTCGGATGCGTCTGCCTCAGTGAAGCCGGATTCTAAACAGTTCATCCATAACCTCCAACTGGTCGGGGAAGGCGTTTCGACAATTCGCAAGTACTGCTTTAGAACAGTTCATTCGAACATCTCAGCCTGTTTGGGGATTTGTGTGCTTCAAGCTCTTGAATTTATGCAGGGCTTGTCTACCGTCTAGTCGGCATCTCTAGACATTGGCCTGAGATCTTGGCGGCGTTCGGGGCCCTACGGCAGGCCTGGGGGTCTGCGGAGTGCGGTCCGTCTCCGTACACTCAAAAGCAAGAACCACATTGAGACCGTTCTTGGATCGGATCTGGATCAGCGAATGGTAAGTTGTGAACCACCTCCCTGTTCTGACTGAACAAAGCTGCGCTCACAGCATTAGATCGCGGGAGCGCGCTGGTGAGAGCCGGCCGCGATCAGCATGGTGAAACAGCTAGATCCCCCCAATCTGACAAGTCAAGCCTGTGCGTAAGCCGCTCAAGCGCAGGATCTCGAACAAGTCTGTATTTCAGCTGCAGCAGGCAATGATGAACTCTGAGCCTTCAAACACGAAAGCGGCTGTATTGGAACTGTACTGTACCAGTCACTTCAGCAGCCCTTTGCTGAAGGTCTGAAAACATGAACGTCCTTTTGGCTGAACAGCTAAGTGCCTTTATGTAGGAGCCCCAAACGAACTCAAGTTAGCAAGTCTATGCTCAGGTAGTAAATGCCGCAAAGCTCTAGACTCTAGACGCAGTCGACGGGCCTTGCAAAAATTACTGCAGCCGACACCCGACATGCTAAAGGCCTCCAAGATGCTGAGATTTCCGAAACTTTGGGGTGCAGGAGTGAGGTCCCCTGCGACGGCAGAAACCTCCAGAAACCGAAGGGTCGGGGGCGTGGCTTTCGTCAAAAGGGGCCTCCTTACAAAGCCTGATCTGCTCCAGAGACGTCCTAGGGTGTACGGAGCCATAAATCTAGGAACTGACTGGGCTCGCCCCTGAGCGGTTTATTGAGGCCTGGCGGACCAGAAGTGAGACAGAACGAAGAGCTTTACCTAATGCATCCAATGCTGTAATTAATGTTGGGGCTGTAGGCTGTACAGAGGGTTCTTTTTTATCTAGAAAAGAAGAGCCCCGCAGCCTGCGCACGGCTCTGCCGACACTTGGATCGATGTCTATGACGTAAACCTCCGCGACCTCAAAGCACACAACTGCAAGTGTAAGTCAGCAGTCCATGATGGACCCGATAGTGACGGTGCGTGTGAGTGATTGACTACTAGTGGCGCCAGGCTCTGTTGCTGCGTTTGCCGTTGCTTCAGTGATGAGTCTGGTGGTCCCGGAGGCGGAGATGCTGGTGGTGAATTCGCAAGCAGCAGCGGCAACATCAGTCATAACATGTTATAAGACTTATCGTCTACAGCACCCTACGACATGGTATTCAAGTCACATCTTGTAAATGCAGATTCAATTGCATTAGGTCGGTTTGAACAAGTGGCTCGAGTGGGGATTGTTCCTGAACTCGAGGTGAACCGTCCTAGAGGCAAATGGCTCCAAACCCTGCACTTTGAGCTTGCTCACGTCGCGAGAAAAGACCAGTGGGCTTTCTCATACATGTATGCCAAGCGGAGGCAGCACTGCCTGCGCGGGTACAGACACCTCACAACATAATGCACCCATGCACACATGCCACCAGTGCATGCATGCATGCGGCAACATACGCATGATGTACATAGAAAGTAGAAAGATCGCCAAACACCCTTGCATGAAAGTCATGTCTATGAGTCTATGTTTCTCCCCTCACTCCGTCCCAGGAGGAGGGTAGGAGACCAAGAGCCCCGGCGCCGTGCTTCAGCGCCTCACGCGCTGCTCCACCATTGCCTCCGCCGCAGATAGCGACCTTGGAGCATGGAGGTTTCGCCTCAACCTTCCTTTGCCCCTTATCCGCGTCGACGAAGGGCGTGAGGGCTTGCAAACAAGGGAATCGCAGCATCGGGGTTGAAAACTGAAGGTCCTGCAAGGTCCTGCAATTCGGACGTCTGAAGCGAAAACTTCCATCCTGTGAAAGGATGATTTCGCTTGAGGCTGCCGGCCACAAGATCTGAATCAAATGGTTGATTCAGGGTGGATTTGTTGTAGATATAGCCTCTCAGCATGCTCCTGGCGTGCTGGTTATATCTGGAGGCATCGCACAGGAAGAGAACTGCATGCTGACCCTTTCCCCACCAGACCATGAAGTTAGCAACAGCAACCTTCGAAACCTCCAGAGTGCAGAGTTGCATTGGCCAGAAGGTCTGCAGCAGTTCAGCCTTTGACCCCGAAAGACCATCTTGAACCCTACTCAGAACAACCTGAAGGTGGGGTAACGGATAAAAGAAATAAACTCGAATCAACAAATTAAGCCAAACCAGTCTACGCAATAATGCTAGTGAAAAACATAAGGGCGACGGCTTTAATTGGATAAAAACAGTTAAGCTGAAACAGATATGCTCCTCGCCGTCGTAGTAATAGAAGAAATAGTAGTGGCAGTGGTAGTGGTGGTAGTAGTAAAAGTAGTAGAAGCAGCAGTAGCACTAGCAGTGGTAGTGGTAGTAGTAGTAGCAGCAGTAGTAGTAGTAGTAGCAGTAGCAGTAGTAGTAGTAGTAGTAGTAGTAGTAGTCTCAGAGTTAGCAGTAGCAGGAGCAGTAGCAGTGGTGGCGGTGATGGTAGTTATTCATACCTGCTTTCTTCCGTCTATTTATCTATCTATCCATCCATCTATCTGACACGTGGTAATGAAGGACTTGCAAAAATAAGGCACACAATCTTCCAGCATGCATCATCGTTTTCATGCTGTGCCGGATACTCCCTTCAACAGCAACCCAAATAATGGCTTCAGGAGAAACCCCGGCCATTTGGCCTCATCAACAGGTTTTAAATTAATCCAGATGTAGGTGTGGGATCTCTTGCACGAGCATTCAAGTCCCCGAAGTTCACAGCCATGGCACCTTATAATACTATTTACTGTTAGTATGAATACAGGTAAGCTACCTGAAGAAAACAAAAAACCATATTTTTGGAATCTGGCCGTATAGTTTCCCAAAAGATTGTGTTTTGGGTTTTCAGGTTTCCTTAGGAAAAAGATGATTTTTCGGTGGTAAAACCAAATTTTTCCTCGGAACAAGTTTGTTGTGGGCAGGAAAACCAAGTTTCCTAGGGCAAACCGAAACAGCAATCTTTGGACTCTGGCCGTATAGTTTCCAAAAAATGTTTTTTTGGTGATTTTGATGTTCCCTAGGAAAAGGTTGGTTTTTGACTGGAAGAGTACAGTGTTGCCGTTAAGTGCCTGCTCACGTCGATCCTGAAAGAGTTGCCTGGCGGTAGGTTATTTATGAGTGGAAGAGTACAGTGTTGCCGTTGACTGCGTGCTCACGTCGAACCTGAACGAGTTGACAGGCACGTTCTCTTGAAATGTGGGTTTGGTTTTGGCAGTCTTAGTCTTCGAAAGATACGGAATCCGATTAATTAGTTAATAAATAAATAAACTAATTCAGTAATTAATCACGCACTTAAGTAATTAATTACATGCTTAAATAATTAATTAGTTAATTAATTCATTAATTACGTAATTACTTAACTAGTTAACTAATTACATAATTAATTGATTAAGTAATTAATGAATGAGTGAATGAATGAATGAATTAATTAACATCGTTATTTGCAGCCACTTAAAGTTCCACTTTGCAGTGACTCCAGACTTGTTCTATGCGAGAATGGCTTCACAATGCATTTGCCCAGCCGTATTTCGTTTTGGTACATCGAGCAACCTTCAAGCGATGCTAGTCTTTCAAACCAGGTGCCTAGGGCCAGAGCCTTGCAGATTGGGGGGGGGGAAGAAAAAACAAATCGGACGTCCAGCCAGCCAGTTTTTATTTTAAATTTGTTCCTCCCGCCCCCCCCCCCCCAACCTCCAGGCCCGGAGACCTCTCCGCTCTAGGTCCCGGATGGCGTGGGCCTCTGGGTTTGGTT